GGGGTGGGGAGGTGAGTGGGCAGGAGGCCTTGTAGGAGCTGAGCCAGCTGACAGGCGTTAGACTTTCGTAGGCGGATGGCTCCATGGAGTACTTCAGGCAGGAAAGGCACTATCCAAGCCAGACCTGGGGTCCACGCCGGCATGGGCGAGAAACTTGGGGAACACTAAAATATAGTGTGGAATAGGTCAGATTGTTAATGCATTTCAGCGCGGCATCCGCCGTCTGTTGCCACATTACAAACTGCCCCTACACCTGGTGGCTTAAGCCAGCAATAGTTTATTATTTCTCGGGGTCCTTTAAAGGCAGTGCAGTTCTCTGGATCCCGGGGTCTCACTCCTGCAGGCGTAGCAGGCTGTCCTAAGAGTGCAAGCCCCGGTGGGAGGTACACTTGCTGGTCCCCCGTTGGCCAAAGCAAGCCGCATGCCCAAGCCACCCGTCCCTGTGTCGGGGACCCCGCAGGCTGGGGACCCTGGGAGGTGCGATTCATCGAAGGCCGTCACTTAAAAATCTATCGTGGACTTGGGGGGGTGTGGGCTTACCTCTTTGAGCAGTGGGGAGGCCCTTGAAGGTTTTGGAGCAAACCTGTAACCTAATGAAATCATATTTTAAGGAAAAATCATCCGGTAGAAGAATGTAGATTAGGTTGATGAAGTAGTTGGTCTCAACCATTAAAACAGCACGAATATGAGAGTGGCATCAGCATCGTGGCAGAGTAAGAGGACTCCAGTGTTTCTCCCCTTCAATGTACAAGTCAGACAACTGTAACTACACAGAGGATCCCCTGTTCGGCACCCAGACACACCTGAAAGACCCACACCTGGGGACACCCGAAGGTGGGTAGGTGGGAGGCCTGACAGGAGGAAGGACACGGAGGGTAGCCTCAGACCCACGGGCGCCCCAGCAGTGGGGGAGGAGTCGGCTGCAGCTTACAAGAGACAGAAGCAGCTTCCCTCCCAGAAAAGGCATCTCCCTTTCCCCTTCCTCGACGTGGCAGAACTGGGTGGAGGTGGCTGGGAAGCTGTAAATAGGGCGAGGGGGGGCTGACAGCCCTATCTAGAAGGGTGGGGCAGAACTGCCAGATCACAGACTAGCCTCCTCTCCCCCACACTCCCTGGTAGGGCCCGGGAAAGCCAAAAACCCAGCTGAGAAAGGAAGTCGCTCTAGGAGTTCACAGAACCGTTCCCCCACAACCAAGGTGAGCCGCTCACAGAGAGGACACCCCCAATCCCAGAGGTGCAGATAGTGCAAATAAGAGAAAACAAAAACTTGCACTGGAGCACCGTCTACTGGAAAACAACCTGCTGAGTTGCTGAGAGCAAAATGGTATCTGAACGAGAGAGCACTTACCTCGGGCAGAGAAACAAGCCGTCAAGCACCACAAGCGTCCCGGGTACCGTGGAGCAGAGAGCGACAATGAAAAGTGAAATCTCGTCAAAGTCGTGGAAGACGGTGAAGCGAATGACGAGATTCAAGATCGCAGTTGCGGAGAAACTCAAAGCACACCAGAAAGCTCAGAAGGGAGTTTGCTGAGCTCAGGAGTGAAACTAATGCACAAAAGGAGTGCTTGACCAGAGAGATCGAAACCGTAGCCCTAGCAGGTTTGGCTCAGTGGTTAGAGTGTGGGCCCACGGACTGAAGGCTCCCGGGTTCGATTCCAGCCAAGGGCACGTATCTCGGTTGCAGGCTTGATCCCCAGCCCTGGGGCAGGGGGAGGGGGAGGAGGCGCGTGCAGGAGGCAACCCATCGATGTGTCTCTCTCCCCCTCTCTCCCTCTCTCTCTCTGGAAAAAGAAATGGAAAAAATATCCTTGGGTAAGGATTGAAAAAAAAAAAAGAAACTATAAAAAACAAACAAACAGAAACTCTGCGGCTAAAGAACTCTGTAAATGAAATAAGGAACGCATTAGAGAGCGTTGGAAATAGAGCAGTTCCGATGGAAGAGAGAATTAGCGAACTCAAAGATGGAAACCTGAACATGACCCAGGAGGGAGAAGAGAGAGCTAAGAGTTTAAGAAAATGAAAGAAAGAACCTACGAGAACTATCTGACGACACCAGAAAGAGCAACCCCAGGATAATCGGTGTGTCAGAGAGAAGGGAACAGAGTCTGCTCCAGGAAGTAATTAATGAGAACTTCCCAAGCCTAAGGAAAGAACTGTACTTTTAGAATAGAGGAAGCTAATAAAACATCTAGTTATATCAACACAAAAGACCTCAGTCAAAAATTAATGACAGCTTGGCCGGGTGTGGCTCAGCTGTTGAGCATCGACCTACGATCCAGGAGATCGCGGTTCAATTCCCGGTCAGGGCACATGCCTGGGTTTTGGGCTCAATCCCCAGTTGGGAGCATGCAGGAGGCAGCCGGTCGATGGCTCTCATCATTGATGTTTCTATCTCCCCCCCCCACCTTTCTCTGGGGTCAATGAGGATATATTAAAAAAATAATGAAATTAATGACAAAGAGTTCTCAAGGCAGCCAGGGAAAAAGGAACTAACCTACAAAGTAAACCTCATTAGATTCAGATCAGATTTCTCAGTAGAAACATTACAAGGCAGGAAAGAATAGAAGGAAATATTCAAAATATTGAAAGAAAGGAACTGTCAGCCAAGGATAATATATCCAGCAAAGCTACACTTTATTTATTTATTTATTTATTTATTTATTTATTTATTTATATTAAATATGGTTTTATTGATTTTTTTTTTTTTTAAGAGAGAGGAAGGGGGAGAGACAGAGGAACATTGATCGGCCGCCTCCTGCACGCCCCCTACTAGGGAATCAAGCCCGAAGCCCAGGCATGTGCCCTGACCAGGAATCGGACTGGTGACCTCTCGGTGCATGGGATTATGCTCCACCCACTGAGCTACACCGGCCAGGGCCAAGTTATCCTTTAGCTATGAAGGAGAAATAAAGGTTTTTTTTTCCCTCAAACAAAAGCTGAGAAAATTTGCTACCACGAGACCTGCATTACAAGAAACGTTGAAAGAAACTCTTCCACCAGAAAAAAAAAGAAGTATGTAAAACTTTCAGTAAGGTGGTTAATAGAAGCAGGAAACTGCAAATCTACTTCAGAATAGGTTATTAAACACTTATGATTTAAAGGTTAAAGTGGAGAACGAGAGCTTAAAATTACTACAGTTTGGTAATGGACAACATAAAACGGGAAAATTTGTGACAAAGTCATAAAAGGGGAGGCAGAAAATGACTGAATGGTTACAGGTGAATGGAGATAAGAGGCAATCAGAAGAAAAAGAACTATTGTACGTATGAGCTATTTTACAACTGCAAAGCAAAAATCCAGAGCTGAGACAGGAAACAGGAAAAAAGATCGTCAAAAAACCCCAAACTAAAATAGCAGACAGAATCATAAGGGAAAAGAAACAGTAGAGATACAGAGCAACCAGAAATCAAAAGATAAAATGGCTGTAGCAAGTCCTCATTTATCAGTAATCACTCCAAATATAAGTGGACTGAACTTACCAATTAGAAGGTAGAGTAGTAGAGTGAATTAGAAAACAAGACCCCACTCTGTGCTCCCTGCAGGAGATTCATCTCGGCTCCAAAGAACAACATAGGCTCAAAGTGAAATAAGCAAGTGGTGGATTCACTAAGGAAAAGAGAAACTCAGATAAAATCAGAAATAAGTTACCACGGACACCACAGAAATACTAAGGATCATGCAAGAATAGCATGAAAGGCTATACGCTACCAAATCTGATAACCTAGAAGAAATGGACAAAGTCTTGGAGATATACAACCTCCCTAGACCGAACCGTGAAAAACTGGAAAACCTAAATAGACCGATCCCTGGTAAGGAAATTGAAACAGGAATCAACAACCTCCTAAAAAATAAAGTCCAGAACCAGATGGCTTCACTGCGAAGTCTGGAACAGAAGATTTAATAGTCATCCTCCTCAAGCTTTTCCAAAAAATCGAAGAGGGAGTGCTTCCTAACTCATCACACAAGGGCAGCGTTACCCTGACGCCAACACCAAGCAAGGGCAACACGGAAAGAAGAATATTACAGGTCAGTATCTCTGACGAACACAGATGCAAAAATCCTAAAGAAAATACTAGCGAGTTGAATACAGCGATACCTTAAATAGGTAAATACATCACCATCAAGTGGGGTTCGTTCCAGGAAGGCAAGGATGGTTCAGCGTCTGCAAATCAATCCGTGTAATATGCCACACTAACAAAATAAAAGATAAAAACCATATACGATCATATCCATAGGTGCAGAAAAAACATTTGACAAGATACAACACCCATTCATGATTTAAAATACTTCCCAGAATGGATATAGAAGGAAAGGACCTCAACACGGTAAAAGCCATAGGTGGCAAACCCACAGCTAATAACATCATCCTCAGCGGTGAGAAACGGAAAGCTTTTCCTCTGAGATCAGAAACAAGACAAGGAGGCCCCTTTTCCCCACTGTCACTCAACAGAGCCTTGGAATTTCTATCCAGAGCAATGAGGCAAGAGAAAGAAAAGGCATCCGAGTCGGGCACGAAGCGGTGACACTGTCCCTCTTTGCAGATGACGTGATTCTATAGAGAAAACCCTAAAGACTCCACCCAAAGACCACTGCACGCAATAAACAAATACAATCAAGTTGCAGGATCAAAATCAAACAGAAATCTGTCGCATTGCTGTATACTCGCAACAGAGTGTCAGAAAGCGAAGTCAAGGAAACAATCCATTTACAATTGCAACAGAAAGGACGAAGTCGCCCCGCTGGTGCGGCTCGTGTAGGATATAAAAAAGCAACAAACAGACAAACTCATAGACACAGGCAACAGAGTGGCAGTTACCAGAGGGATAAAATTGTATACTTGCAATTTATACAATGTTATTAACCAATGTCACCCCCCCCAAATTTAAATAAATAAAACATAACTAATATGTTCTATTCCTTAAAACAGTAAGTGGTAGGAAGTCTCTTAATGTATCCACAAAGGGGGCCAAAATGATGAAAATACTATTTTATTCTTTATTCCGGGTAAATTATATAATTTTTAAAGTTAATTCAACTTTATCATAAAAACAAGGATATTTTACTAAGAAGGTTTTAAATAGTTTTAAGCATAAGTCAACAGAGAATGAAAAATCTCAACTTCAGTACGTGGATTCGGACCAAAAATTTTGTTTAAATATTGTGTAATCCCATATACCGTTCTCCCACAGGTTTGCGTTTCAACTTACCAGGACCTTGCCTTTTAAAATCTTCATACTGAGACATTGCGTATATTAACTGGACAGTTTACTGGCTACAAACTTGTTTTCAGGTGGAGTCCTCTCTTTTTCAGTTCTGAGGTCAGAGAGTCAAAAAAACACCGAACGTAGCGCTTAGGAAGCGAAGCACCTTAGCTGGCGTGTGCACGCCCTCTGCCTTGCCGCCGACCTTGGGAATATCTCCGAGCGTCTCCACTCCCCTTCAGGAAACACCGATAACATCACCGGCCCACGCTGTGGGCTGGGACAGCTTAGGCAGTGGCTTGGAAAGTCTGCCTAAATGCGACTTATTACAGTTCTTTTTTATTCTGCTTTAAGGTTTTCCTCTGTCTTACGAAATAACTCTGTGGTAGAACATTCCATTTCCTAAGCTCGTATACATACAAGGTGTCCCCCAAAAAATGTTTATAAAGTCAGTGTCTATTCACATACAGTCCATTTTCAAAATTTAAGAGAATCAATGGAAATAATTTTTTTGCCAGTGCCTGTTTTCAAACTGATGACCGTTCGGGTCCAGACACCGCTGATAACATGAATCGCAAACACCGAGGGTCGTTTCTTTCGGTATTTGTGTGCCCTCGATGGGTCGACTGTTGCCGGTTTTGTACCATAAACTTTATCACCGTTAAAAAACAAAGTCTGGTGGCACTTTAGGATAAATTTTCTTTGTTCAAAGCTTAGTCTGGCTTCACCCATTATTTTAGGCCAGTCAAACCTGAAAAGGAGTGAAAGTTAAGTGAGTTATCAACTGTTCAAGTGTGTGTACATTTGGGGGTGGCGGCCTGTGTATAGTAAAAGCCGTAACTTTTATGTCAGGAACACATCCGTCCTGGACCTGGCGTCAGGAGCAGGCAGGGCCTTCTCTGGACGTCCAGTGCCTGCTGCTGGGCTCTTCCCAGGGCTGGTCCAAGGCGAGGATCGCAGTAGTGGGGGCGCCAGCCCCCGGCACCGCGATCAGGCCCACGCCCTGCCTCCCCAGAGCCACACCGGCTGCACCCAGTCCTTCCTGCAGCCACAGGGACTGTGGGATGGTTGGAAGAAACCCTCTGTAATGCTTCGCCCTTTCCTTGTCTAAGTGGTGATTTTGTGTGTCACCTTCCCTGTCTAGCTATGATCCTGGCGGGAAAAGCCTACTACGAGGGAGTGGCCAAGATCGGTGAGATTGCCACCGGGTCCCCTGTGTCGACAGAGCTGGGTGAGTTGACCGGCGTTCTATATAACAAACCCCACTCGAGCCTCAGTTTCGGGGCTTTCATCCCGCGAGGGCCGATAAGAACAGGGGAAGTGGCCCAAACCCGGGCTAGAAAGGAGAGCTGGCCCAGCACCCCAGGGTGCTCACTTCTGGGGTGACGGAGTTCGCTATGGTGGGTCGAAAGTGGAGGCAACGCCGGTGCCTGGCCTCCCTGCTCCTTAGGACTCGGGCTTCTGCCCGAGGCTTGGGTTCAACACACACACACCACCCCCCCCCACCGCCCCCCCAAAGCACAAGGCCCAGGGAGCTCTGACCTACATTCTTAGCTGGAGGAGCTGGGCCGGCCCGGCCTGGCAGGAGCGCTTCCTGTGACTCACCAGCAGAAAGTCAGCCCTCCGCGTCCTGCTCTTGGCTCTCGCCGCTTCCACGGTTGCTCTCCGTGGTGATTTTTCCGGTCTTGCTGGTATGAATCGGTCTCCTGTGCACACGCGGCCGGCGGCCACACCCTCGCCCTGCCAGCTGCCAAGGGAGCCTGGGTTTCTATTTACAGAGCCAGCTCTCCCTGTCCCGTCTCCTAAGGGGGAAAGATTTTTTTTTTTCTTTTTTTACTAGCCCCCCCCCCCC